TTGGTCCCGATTGATGTTGTTTTATTTCCAGGCAGAGATGTTCGAGTTCAATAGATGAATCCAGCAACCGGACCCGACGACAAAGGAGAGTATTGTTGACATACACAGCAACCCCACCACCTCTTTTTGAGTCACTCCGATCACAGCGGTAAATCTGATAATTCATCGAAGCAATTGCGCAGTCGCTCCAAGTAGAATTAAGCCAAGTTTCGCTCATTGCAAAGACATCAATCCATGCACTCTTCTGAAACCTGGTAAATTGCTAATAGCACCTCTTTGCATGCAGGGTCACTGATTGATGCAGAAAAAATATTTCATGTTCATGTGCAAAAGGGGGATATACACCGGATTCATAAATGGCGGACCGCTCGGAAAAGCCTCGATACGAGAGCATGAAAACGAGGCGGGTGAGGATAGAATCCCTAACTCCAATATGGCGATAAGTGAAGAGGAGACGCCTACAGCTCCAGTTTTGCTAAAGGGAAGTGATATCACTGGAGCTAGTCTTGCTGGAAGGAAACCAGCAGAGTTGGAAAAAGCTAATCTTTTGTTTTGGTAGCAATTTAAGCGTGATCGTGAAAGCACAGCTCGTAAGATGACGGTATGTTTTCTTATGTTTACATCGAATGACGCGGATCCTCTGGCAACCTCAACCAGGGTTAAAGTTAAATATAGAACGTTTTTCACTTTTTCGCTAAGTTTTTCAGATACACAGCTGTAGTATTTTGCCAAATAAAACTTAATCGTTTCTTGCTTTTTTTTTTTTATTTTTTTGGGTCTTGTCGTGTCTTTACAGTGAGTCATGAAGGTTAACAGGTTGCCGAGACAAATTCATTGTTAATCTCCTTTCTTACGATAACTGCAGAAATTCTCGCGCGCTCATTGGCTAATTTTTATTGTCAACAAGGGGGCAGACACATGAATTTATAATTTATGCGATTCGTCATAAGCATTTGCTGCGATTCATAAGCATTTGCTGGATAAAAGCTCTTGATATGTCTGAAATCAATACTGATGGATATTATGGCTTTATACATAGTAATTTTAGGTTAGAATAATTTTCAGCATTCTTCCAGGAAGTTTATTTTTAATAAGAAACTTTTTTTTTCTTAATCTGACCAAACAAATCAGCGATACTCTAGTGCAATAAACTTTTTTTTTCTTTTTACTATTGCATACAATACTAACATTACTTACACTACTAACACTTCTTACAAT